CCCCTGTCGTCGCTGGAGGACACCCCTGCAGCAATAACCACTGCTGCCTGCCCGGCAGCTCCGCTTCCTCACCCCGCTCACTGTGCACTCCGGGAATAAACTGAGATCTGTTGGACATGTGGCCCGGGGAGTGACTTGAGGGTCGCGTCCTCCCTCTGCTCTCTGTGGCCTGAGCTGTGGGGATGAGGTGCGGCGCCAAGCCCAAGGCACGCTGCTCGCCCAGCCTGGGCCATGGTTGGAGGAGCACCACCAGGTACAGGTCTTGCTATGGGGATGGGGGGGTCCATATCCCCTTGGATTTTATAAAACTCGCCTCTTCCTTTGCAGGGGGTCTTAACACCGACACAGAGGGGCAGCAGTATGTAAGAGAGGTGTAAGGGAGCACAGCTCTTCAAAGTGAGAGCAAGCAGCATGCTGTTAGCAGGGCTGTTTGATTATCCTGGGATTTTTCAAGTGGAGGAAAAGTGCTTGCTCCCTGGTGCCCGTGGGAGGAGGAGTGTGTTAGTGCCGGATTGGGATGGGGGGCTGGGGCAGCTTCACCCCAGCCTGTGCACCAGGGATGAGGGTGCAGCTGTGCTCCTACCCAGCTAGGAGAGCCCTGGGTCTGGCCACAGTGTCCCAAAGGCCTCCCCAGGGCACCGCTGGGTGCCTCTGCCATGCAAGCAGCTGGAGCAGTTTAACCCCCCGGTCCCCCTGCCTTCCCAGCAGCCCAGCAGTGGCTGAAGGCAGCCGGCGAGGCTGGGTTTGGCCCAGCGGACTTTGCGCTGGGGTGGATTAACATTGGTCATTGTTTGCTGACCTGGCCGGCCCCTTGCCAAGGTCTCTGCTGGGGTCTGCTCTTAAAGAAAGGTGTCTTGGGGAGGTTGGGGAGGGAAAAGAGGGTCCGCTTGTATAGGATAGAGTTAACCGTGGAGTAGGTGGGAGTGGAGGGCAGCCTGGAGCTCTGGACCCTGGAAAGGGACCACACGAGGTATGTGGCCCTGGGTAGGGGCTGTGGGAGGCTGGTGTTTTCCCCTGCTTCCTTTGAGGCCGTGCAGGTTACAGCTGGAGGCAAAAACCTTCCAGGAAAACGTCAGTGGAGGGCCAGGTGGTGGGGCTTTTCATTGCGTGGCTCAGAGCAGGACTTGCTGTCAGCATGTGCCTCCTGCCCCTTGCTGACACCCCAGAGGGGCATCGCAGTCCAGACGGCCCCAGGGGCGCTCGGCATTTGGAAAAGGAGTGTCGTCACACACCTTATGCCCCTGGCATCTCAATATCCCTCATGTGAGTGCTCTTTGTGCCAGCCCAGCTCTCTGGGACCGCTCTCCCTGTGGTGGGGCAGCACCCAGCTCTGGGGCAAGCCAACCTGGCGCAGAGCATGGAGGGGAGCTGAGGTGCGAGAACAGCTCCAGCAGCAGGGAGCATCCCCCCACCTGTCTCCCCAGGCTGCCCTCTCCTCCGGAGGCTCCCCAGGGCTGGATGGAGGTGGGCTACTTGCACTTGGCTCGTGGCTACCTTTGAGCTGAGCTGCCCCCTGTGGTGTGGGGGTACGTCGGGGCTTGGCAGCCTGGGCTCCCCTTTGCAACCCCAAAGCCCCTGAGAAACAAGGGCTCGAGGTGGGGTGACAGGACGGGACACAGGGGCAAGCATGCAGAGCTGTCATCGCTGTCCCAGCTGCGGGTCCTCATCGCACACACACAGGCCCAATTGTAGGCCATGGTGACGCCCTGGCTTTGGGACGACAGGTGCCCCCAGCATAGCCTTACCAGAAGCCCCCTCCCTCCTTCCCTCTGGGCGCCAGCTGGCAGATCCCTTCCCTCTCCGGTCCCGGCAGCTGGCAGGCCAGTATAGGCAGGGGGGG